TGACTCATTCTGCCTATTTGTGTCTAATTATTCTGTCTGAGATTGTATCCTTCTATCAGTGAAGTTCACAAGTGCGTTTCGACAGCTACAAAGACAGTTCTAAGTAAGTGCTGCACATGATCAGGTAAAAAGAAGAAACAGAAGACTCAAAATGGCAAACAACATTCCAGTGCAGACAGAATGCCAAATGGTCCAACAGAAACGCTCTCTCTTCTCTGCTGCCTGGTGTCTGTGGCCCTGTCCCTGTCGCTTCTCACGCTCTCGCTCAGTTCCACCTCTTTGTATTCTACCGGTACCGGCTGTCCTTCAGTCAGATTCCTTCACCCATTCGTTTGTCGGCTCTTATTTTCCGATTTTTTTCTCTTTGAGCTCTTCTTTCTTTAAAAAACATGTCATCCTTAGAGGCCATAGTTTTAGGTCTATTATGTAATATTGCATGTAGACGGATGAGCTTGATTCATTTCCTTTTTGTTACAATATGGAGGACATTTGACACCACTCTGTCTTTTAACACTAGGAGCGCCCCTAGCGGTCAACTGACCGTCACTCACTTTAATATGCTAATTAGTGTATTCAAAACAAAACGCCAGAAGTTGAAATTTTATGACTTTTACTGGGTACTTGTTGTTTATATTTTGATGTGTTTTGTTTTTGGAAAAAGTAAAGAAAACAAGATTTACACGCATTTTAACTTTTCTAAACCACAGCCCTTTCTGCTGCCCCATAGGGATACATGGCGCAGGGGCGACTGTTGTCATAGTAACCTTTCCCGGGGTTTTTTCGCGCCTTGTAAAAATGTATCAATATGTTGTCATTAGACTCTAAAGGGACTTGAGGTTTTTTTTATTATTTGGGAGAGAGAAAGAGTTTTGAATTGAGAGGAGTACAACACGAATAGAGCTGCAAGTACACGGAAGCCCTGACAGTGCTTCAAGACATTGAATGAGAACAGTCTGACGGAGGTGAGATGTCACAGCGGGGAGAACACCTATAATATTCTAAATCTGAACGTAAACCCGTAGTGCATTCACGGCACGGACAGCAGTGTTGGAACAAGTCCAGAAGCAATAACTCACATGACCCGCGTAATGCCAGCCATACGCAGGTGTCTGTGTGCGCGCTGTCGCTCCATTCTGCCTTTTCATTCATCATCAATTACATTCTTATATTTATACATAGAAGAAGGCAATAAAGCAGAATACAATATCGCAATAAAATAGAACAATTAGATGAACTATCAAGGCAGAGTGCAGATAGAGCGCTGTGAGGCCTCTCGTCACCCGCGGACACTGCAGGAGGAGAGCGACTGTGGGGCAGAAGCGGCCCTCATATATTCTTATTCATATTATTATTTTATCCAGACAACACTGTGTTATTCTGCACAGCGCACACTGCAAGGCAATGATTATAATTTTCTTCTGATCATAAAGAGCACTGCTTGTCTCAAATAAATACAAAATATATATATATAACGTGTCCCGTGTAAAATTGAAGATTGTACATTGACGATGGTAGCCTATAGCTGATGATCTTGTGTCAATACGAATACTATTATTATTATCGAGATAATATTTCCCACAGTGATTTCGGCTGGAAAGAGAAAACAGTCTGGAGATGACGTAAGAAGTAGACGTATATAGCAGCGCGAAGACGTTATGGTCCCGTGCTCTAAACTATCATTTATATTGTTTGAATTTACATATTGTTACTGAGTCAAATTTAACATATAGTGACCGACCTTTTACGTGTTTGCAAAGTTACAAAATAAATCTAGCCAGAAAAGTCTTCGTAATTTTTTTTTATTTCGGCTGGAATTACAATTACTTAGCATATTTAGACAAATAATTTACACAGTTTCATTATGATCACGATTTCCTTGCAACAACAAATTCTGGTTTAGTGAACAATCAATTTGGCAAAAGGCTGTATCAGCGCAAAATACATAGCGGTCAACTGACCGCAGGGGGCGGTGCAAGGTATGTTTAGAGCACGGCGGTCCTAGTGTTAATTTCTGATGCCTATCTCGATACTTGTGAAAAAGTGATGGAATCAAGTTGTTTTGATAGCTGAGAATAAGATTGTTTTGCAAAGTTCCATTTTATGTGGTTCAAAAGTTGGTTGCCCCGGCTTTAGGCTCCAACAGCTGCACATCCAATACATATTCACAATCTTTAATCCAGAATCTTTGACGCTTTATAACAGGGGTGTCCATCGCATTTGGGTTGGGGGCCAAATTCAAAGATTAATTGCAAGAGGAGCCAAATAAAAAAATAATTTCAGTGGAAAGACATGTTTTTACAAGAAATTTAACAAAAGGACTACATTTGTATACCATACGTTTAGATTGAAACCAAACTGAACCAAAGGTGAAAGTGAAATTGTATACTGATATGCCAATGATTTATTATCTCAACTAGTTACCTGAGAACAATAGCTTTAAAATGAGGTATAACAGGCCATGGTAGCCGTATAAACATATTGTCATCTATGCTGAAAGTTGATTTCTCTTTTGCTTTTTACTACTACTGCACAATTGGAGATTTGCCAAAGACAGAAAATCAATCAGTCATTGGTCAAGATAGACAGAATAACATTACAGAAAACAGATATATGTCTTGGGGCGTCGCCTGTCCTTTGACCTTTCTTCTTCTGCAGAGAAAAAAAAAACCTCAAATCACAGTTAATATAGTAAGATAACACAATAAGATTTGTTTTGTAAATTATTATTTTTAAAAATATCTCCTACTTTATGGTCCATACTTTTGTTTTAAAAGGCCGAAAAAAGAGTGAGGTCCTAGTGGCACAATGACGTCACACTATAACAGGACTGAGACAAAGCTTTTAGACAGAAGGGTTGGTGTTTCATGTTTGAGCCAGAAGTTCTTGATAGGGTTGATGGATTTCTAAAAAAGCAACTCCAAGTATGTTTTTGATGAGGTCTGATGTTGTGGTCAAAATATCAAAAACATAGATATTAGATGATACGTTTACTTCAATATCAGCCTGTAAATGATCTTATTCCATCAATTCTAAAACCCAATATACACCCAAATGTCGGGGTAAAACAAATTGTAAGTATATCTTTTTGAGTCACTTTAAGCTTTTATTTAGTATTGCGTCGACCCGGTGAATCCAAGCTCGACCGCCACGTTCTCCCACCTCTCCTGCCTACATATGTGTTTGCATTTGCACATGGAAGAGCGGCAGATAAACACTTCACTTCGTCTTTCCTCTCACGTCCCCAACGGAGGGTGACAGCGAACAAAGTGTCAGTGTGCGAGGGCAGGAATGAAAGCCAGAGCTGCCGGGCACCACACACACACACACACACACAAACACAAACACGATATCGCACACGTGCGTGTGTGCGATATCGTGAGCACACACAGATCTGAGGCCCAGTGCTGCCGCGGACACTGGCCAGCTGTCCGAGTGACTGCGAGTGCTGTGGACGTATAGGCCTGGTGAGACATGGCACACTGGGAGATATGAAGAGAACCCAAAGTGTCAATCATCTCCCAGCAAAGACATCGGCAACAACCTTTTCAATCTTGATGGCGGCATGCAACAATCAAGTAAACATTTACGCTCTTCTGTATTGATTTTGTCCTGCTGTGATTGCATTTGTCATTTAGTGCCTACTTTAACTAACCCCAGGGAATCTACGATGCATAAAAGTGGCAGTTTTTAAGAGGAATTGTATGACTGTCTCTAGAAAAATAGAGTTTGAACATGGACACTTCTTTGAATGTTGAATCTTTCATATATTTGAACGAAACAGTGCATTTTTTTACTTTGAGATTTAGTCATAGCATGCCTCGCCTGTCTATGTCCTGTGTGTTTTTTTTATGTTTTTATCAATATTTGTGTTTTTTATGCCCTATGCTGCTCAAAAGAATTGCCCCTTATGGGATGAAGGAAGGTGGGGTGAATCTGAATGCCTAATTTCAGTGTGATTCTTTAAAATTGTATCGTTTGTCTATATGGATAATGTAAATAAACTTGCCAGTGATGTTCAATAATCTCAAAGCGGATGATAAAGTATACCATAACCATAACTTCAGCTTTAAACAAATCTAAAAATACCCAAATATGAATTCTTAAAGACAGGGACTAAAACAATGTTGCTGCTACTTGTTTAACATTCACAAATGATCATCTGAAGCACAATTATTTCAGAAGATTATGCAAGACGACTGCATTTCTCTAATTACAAAGACCTATTTTTGTTTAAACATTTGCAAGTCTTACGGCGAGGTGAGAAAAGACAAGATGAGACAAGATGACATTTTTTACATTTCTCAGTCTCGATCCTCTGCATAAATGGTCCTATTATATTCAGTTCAATCTGGCATTTCATTTTGGCAGTGTTTTAGGTTTTCATGTTCCAACTTTATCTCAATTCGTTATTTTTTGGGTCAAACGTCTTTGTCCGTTGAAGCCTGGGTAGGCCAAATATATAAATGTGGATGATGCTGTACTTATGACATGACAGTCTCTTGTTTACCCCAATCTTTAGTAGTTATTACCATTTTGAGACTTTCGTTGTCAAGCGCATGCACTCCACACAGTTCTGACACTTTATGACATTGCTTTTAGCTTTTCATGTTGACATCATAAACAAAGGCGCAATTAAATTTCTGGGATTTGCTGTGCCGATGTGCTTCTGTCACACCCCATCAGCTCAGCACAGCCCTAGGTAGCTTCCCTTCCCCAAACAGCACGCCATCTCCAACTCTGCAGCTCCCTACAGTTGTACCTCAGCAGTAATATATTGAATTATCTTGCATTATGTCTCCAGTCCTTATCTCTGAGATGGCCGTGATGATCCTCCTCCGATGCGCCGACCGCCTTCTTCAATCCCCATTGTTCTCCTTACAGCGCATTTATATACATTACTCTGCCATCTCCTCCGAGCAGAATTAAATCTTTGCACAGTTCCATCACTCATTGCCTTAAACCCTGGCTGCTTTCCCCCCCCTCCTCCCCTCCCGCACTCCTTATCCCCAGCGGAGGCTCCCACTTCCGCGGAAAGACGAGCTAACGCGGTTCTCGAAGATGCGAGCGCTCTTAGAAGCTCTCTGCAGACAGTGAGGAAAAGCCATCAAGTCTTTAGGAAGAACACGGGAGCATAGGGCTGAGCAGGTGAAGCACACTTAGAGAAACCAGATTAGGATGCTGTTGTTTTGTAATGTGCGTATACAGTAGCAAAAAGCTCCATTAGTATTCAGCTCAGATGGAGAACTGGTGCGGCAAGGATGCACTGTTCATATCCTGGCTCAATGACTTTAATAGAGAGCCAAACACTGCTTGCTACAAACTCGGCTAAGAGAAAGCTAGTCTGCAGGGAGCAGGCATGGCAAGAAGCAGACATACAAAAAAAAATAAAAATCAATGGTGTTTTAGTCGTGCATTTCAACTGAAGGAAGAATGCGCTGGCTGACCTTCACATGCCCCGGCGGTGGCTTTCTTTCATGCGCGCTGCAGATTAGCCAGTGTGATTTTCAGCGGGAGAAATGTACTCACTGATGCGTCGCACTAATTTCGTTTAACATTTACGCGAATGAGAAGAACAGGTCCCAAGGAAATGCCAGCGGCGAGTGGAGAGAGAGGTGGTGGGGTTTTGTGGTTGGGAACAGCACAGGCCCAGTCAGCACTTTGGAGTTGAATGAAGAGATAAGCTCCCAGCCATCTATTCATTACTGCACATATGATTATTTTTCAGCCAAATCTGTTGAAGCCAGTCCACGGTTCTGCTTCAGTTTTTACCCCTCCTCCCCAACTCCAGAAGGGCACGGATATTTCTCGACTTGTGTTGGAGGAGTTTACAAACTTGCGTCATTTGGAAAGGGTTGGGGACATTTCTTGCACCATCAGCACTGGCTCTGAGATAGGTGCTTCTCAGCGATTTCTACAAGCTAAAGAGTGAAAGATGACCATACACTTGACTTGTATTAATCCTATTATATGGAGTGCTGCTCTTAGAGGGCTTGAACCTCACATTTATTGGAAATCCTTTTACTGTTATGAAGCTTTCTAGTCTTTGGTCAAGCAACTACTATCATAAATATCGCCTCTGGCCACATTTTTTTGCAGTATTGATGTTGCTAATTGACATCTCTGTACAGACTGTTTGCTGATCATATCTTTTTTATCTATTAGAGTTTTTAATTTGGTCCACAGAGGTCTGTTTTTTCCTTTGTTGTGCTTACTGCCAATCTGTAGAAAAAGTCAAGACAGAAAGAAAATGCGGAAACATTCCATCCTGGGTGTAATACTCATGATTTCCTTTGTAAACGCTTGTGCTTTGTCAATGCCACTAAGCTAAAGAATAACTTCACTTGCTCACCTTCCCATACCCCATCCACCCCCTCTTTTTTAATTTATCTAATTTCCGTTTGAGTTTCCACCTCCCCGTGGCCAGCGCGTGCTCCCAGGCCGTGTGTGGCGGCTGGGGCGGGCTGCTCCGTATTCCTGGGCTGTTGTCTCTGGCGGAGAGTGATTGTGTGGGTGGCAGGGAGGTCAATTGGAAGAAATTGCGTTGCGGCCACCATGGAGCGGAGGCGAGAAGGAACAAACTGGATATTAGCCCAATCCATGTAGGCTGGGGTGTTTACAACATCCATCCCCCAATACACCCTACCCCTGCTGCTGTGTTCTGCCAAAGCACACCGGAGTTTTTGATCGGATTGGGAGCTCTGGAAAATCCAAACGTTTCTCGCAGGGGCCTGGGAGATTCTGGGGGAAATATATATTGAACATATAGTGTCTATAGTCAGACATGTATTTAAGACTACAACAGTTTAGTTATGTAGTTAGATCTAAAGTTCTTAATATTTTATGTTCTACAATTCAATCTATATAATAGTTTTATTTTTTTATGCTTTATTCCTTCTCTGCTCTTGACTTGTACCGAGAGCCAAAGCAATTTTTCCAGTCTGTGACTTCCTGTTACTTACATTTAAAAACCAAAAATGATTGTGAAAAAAAATGATTCTAATTCTGATTTTAGTTGGAGGCCAGTTGCCAATACAGCTCTTTGGAAAACAAGCAATTATTGAAAAAAAATATGTTTCAAAGGTTTTTTCCAGTCATTCCATTAATATTGAATAAGAAAGAGAAAAAAAACACCATATCTTGATCGGTCTTTACTTTAGCTTCTTTCTATTGGCCAACATCATGCATTTGTTAGTGAATATTGTCACGACTTTAAGACACAAAAACTAGACTAATGATGTGTAACTTTGTGATAGTTTTTGTTACATGTGAATTGGCCTTGAAAAACATAGAAATGAGCTCTAAACTAAGCTATTACTTTTGACAGTCACACATTTGACAGATTTTTCAGATGCACACCACCACAATTTTAAACAAAAAACTTTTTGGAGTGTTGTGATATCACACAAACACAACCTATTGAAGGTAAAAGAGTGATACTTCAGGGCTAGGAAATAATGTAATTGTATAACTTAAACCCTAAAGGGCTTCAAAAATGTCACTATGAATGTGACTGTTGGGCTAGGCTTAGGCTATGACCGAAGAATCAACAAACTAAAGCATTACATAAAAGATAAGGTAAACTTTATTGATCTCACAATGGAATGGAGAAGTTTACACATTTAAATAATGCTTTTGACTTCTGTGAGTTCCCAACAGCGACCTTTAGAAGAATGACTAGACACAGATTACATCATATTTTACCCTTACAAAATCTATAGAAAACGCAGCATTTACCTGCTACAGCCGACTTTCCACCTTGTGACTTGATTCCCGGTAGTCTTGTTAGGCGACTCAGCCAAAGAAAGCCCCAGTGCTCAGTTCTGCAGAATGTTGGCACAAAGTCAACATTCAAGTGTGTACATTTTCACTGCTCACTTTGTTCCGTCTTTCGATAAAAGCCAACTGGTTTCAAAGCACTTTTTTTGTGATTCGTCTCCTGGGTGATGTTGCCAGATGACTGCCTTTCAAGATCTTACAGTAATGATGGATTTTAGGCAGGTATTAAAGTGCCGTATGTTTCAATACTCAGTGGAAATACAATTTGTCTTTGATGGAATCCGTCATGTTGTTTTAAATTTAGTTGTTATACAGTAAGTCAGAATTAATTTGAATGATCCATTTTCATCCATCAATTGATTGTTATGTGTAATACTGCATGTGCGGCACGTTTTAACAACCTTCCAAAACTTTCCGATAAAAAACGTTACGAGCTCTCAAAGTTTCATATGCCATCTTAGCCCCTTATAACCTACGTTCAAAATGGAAATACAGTAGATCTTGAAACCTCAGGCTTTCAAAAGAGCCTTAAGTTTTTTTGTATGCACTTTTGTTACACTCGGTTCAAATTAAGTTAATCCATCTCAAAAGTTTCACCGATAATACATTCTACTGCTGTCTCTAAAATTCTTCGTAAATAAATTAACCTTGTTAAAGTTATCGATAGACTAGCTCTTTTTTGCAAGTGTGATTTATGGTTAATTGTACCTTAAACCTCAAGCGCTTTGGGTGACCTCGGTCTTGAAAATGCACTATGTTAAAGACAAAACTCATTCAAATCAGACCGTAAGATGAGGATTTCTAAATTTGCTACACTCAGACAATCCATAATCAGAAGTGGCAATTTCTGAACGAGACCTTTTGTTGTTGTGATGAGTAATTAACATTGTCCTACAAAGATGTTGGTGTGAATATTTCATGGCGACAAAGCACTGAGAGAGCAGGCGGTGTTAAAACTCCAGTTCATGTATAATTCATGCGTACTGACAGTGATTGTAGTATCTCTGGTGTGTGGTTAGACTCAGCCCCCTTCTTCACTCTACCGCGGCTTGTGCTTGAGGATTGAAAGAACAGTGGCACCTGGAACCTTGTCGGGAAGGCTGTGGTAAAAAGGTTTTATTGTTGTGAACTGCATTGGACGCTGGGTTTGCTAATAATGGTCTTGATCGGTCTTTACTTTAGCTGCTTTGAGTTCTACATGGATTCGTCAGAGCCAATCAGAGCATGAATTGAGAATCATTTTGGAATTCATATATTACTCCCAGAATTCTGATACTATTTTAACTCCCACTTGCAATCCCGTTCCCAAAACATGTTTAGTTTTCCACAAGTTTTATTACTCACTTTTAAGAAGTGGTAAAACTGGTAAATCCAACTTGAAATACAGATTCAGATTCAGTTTATTTGCCATTTGCAGTGAAAAAACCACATTGGAATACATTAGCAAAAAGTCTCCAGTGTGCACAGACAAATACAGACATAAAACAACATTAAAAGACAAAACAAATAAAACAGTAAACAACACAGTCACTGTGAAATCGATCGGCTAAAACAGTTTCAAAACAAGTGCAAATCATTAAAGTGCTCTGTTCACACTGATAACAGCTTGTGGATAAAAACTGTTAGCGTAACGAGATGTCCTGCATCTCAGAGAGCAATATCTTCTGCCAGAGGGAAGAAGCTGGAACATGGCTGTTCCAGGGTGGCCAGAAGAGTCATTAACAATCCTAAGAGCTTTGTTTAAAAGTCTGGATTTATAAAGAACCTCCAGAACAGGAAGCTCACAGCCCACGGTCCTCTTTGCAGAGCGGAGCACCTCATACAGTTAGTTGAAAGGCTACTGAAAGCTATCTGCTGGCAACTAAACAGTGCGTTGCTATGCTAACTAGCACTTGCTAATCCCCGGTGGAAAAACAAGCTGAACTAGTCCAGCACTTTAACTCTAACTAAGGTTTTAACTGGTCAAATGAATGGAGCAGTCAAAATAGCTGGTCTGGGAATGACTCACATAAAAAAAAAAGACTGCTCTAAAGAGTTATAATGTTAATTTGAACCAAGAAATGTCCTGTGTAAATGTGGTGGTGGTTGGGAAGTGAAAAGGTGTAAAATTGGACAACCAAATGCCTAAAATCTAAATAATTGGATTTTTGGGTGAGGCTTTGCAGCTCCATTGAGAATGCTTGAATTTTGCCTCAGCCACAGCAGTGATTGAAGTATTGCGCTGGTTCTACTTCCACTGAATGGACAAACTACATTAAGACCAAGGTTGAATATTCACCCTGCCAAATGTTAAATATATGTGTCTGTCTGTTTGTCTGTAGACAGGATTGCACAAAAACTACTAGACAGATCGAGCTGAAATTTGGTGTGTAGATGGAATGTGATGGTAGAAGACCCCTTTATAATGATGCCACGATCGGTGGTCTTGGGGGGGTATGCGCTCTCCGACTGCACATTCTCGTTGATACATGTTATAAGCATTTGACATGAAGCTAGAATTTTCATCAATTGCAAGAACTACTACTCATAGCCGTAGACATTGATCATACAATGAAGGTAAAGGTGCACTTTTATCAATCCTCGTAGGGCAATTCAATCCTCAGCATTTGACCCATCCTGATGCCACTAAGGCTTACATCAGGAGCAGTGGTCGCCGTAGTAACAGCGCCCAAAACCTAACTCCAGATGTTGATGCTCGGCTTGGTCAGGACTACCGGAGCTGGAGGATATAACCTATTGTGCATGTTTTTAGTGGTAGGGGCAACCGGAGTACCCGGAGGAAACCTACGCAGGCCCGGGGAGAACATGCAATGATGTCAGTCATTGGGAGTCACTGCTTCTTCATTCAGTCCATTCTATAAAACAACATGCTAACGACATGTTATCCTTACATTTGCATTTTCCAGTGACATACTTTTTCCGTTTGTGGTTTCTCTTATCTGCTTGTCCTCAGCCTCGGTCACCACACATCCCAGTCTTATCAACATGCTTCATTTGTCCTTCTTCCACCCTCTCCCGTCAACACTCTACCCCTCAAACATATGTGTACGCTGCACTTGCTAGTGTTAAAGTTGGATGTTTTGTGTAAGTTAGCACAGAGACTGCTAATATGGGTGTGTTTACTCCTACGGAACAAGATGGATGGTGTGATTACAAAAGCGTGTCTTGACATTTATTAGATGCTTTTAGTTCAGATGTTTTCTCATTTCCTTGCAGTATTGGACTTGGTTTGTTTTTTTAATGGCTAAAATTGATCGCCTTGTTACTCTGCATCGCTCTTTCACCATCCAAGTCTCAGTTCCCTCCCCTTTCACATTTTTTCCTGCTTTTGTCCCGAGCTGCTTGCATGGAGTAAATAAGTATTGATTCGACTGTGGCTCGCTAAGATCCTCTTGCGCTAACTGCTCCTTTTGTCTTCCAACTCACTTTTGGCTTTTCAGTTTGTTCTTGTACAAATCACATTTTTCATGCAATCTTTTTTTTTTTTTTTTTCCCAAATCAATCCGTCATGTGTCTTGTTACGTTCCGTGCAAAAAGATGGATTTTTCCGTTGCTGCATAAAACCACAACTTTTCTCATGCCGCTAAATGTGTTTTCCTGATGTTGAAGTGTTACCCAGAATGACCCAGTTCTGGCATCAGTTGGAGCCGATCGAAGCTGTGGTAAGCAGAGGATTGCAGACAATAGATTTCAACAGCTGGTGACCATCAATGGAAGACGTTCCAAAACATTGGTCTTCCAAGGGATCAAACGCAATCTGTCACTTTTGTACGATGAGAAATGTGATTCTTTCCTCCTTTGGCAGTTGTTTAATGCCATTTTGTCTGAGATTTGTTTTATGCAATGTTAC